TTACGTAGACGATTTTAAGGCCGTCTACAAGGAACACCCCTTGGGTGGCTTGTAACGGAAAACCCTTGACATGCTTTATTAAATGATGAGGATGGATTCACTTAAAAGAAGTTTATAGCGGAAGTAAATGTAAGTAAAACTATTAGGTCATAAATAACGTAAATGCGACAAAAGGTGGGTTCATGCCCAAAACGTTTTCATAAAATAAGTAATTCATCTGGCCCGCACTGTCGTTCATCCGCAGCTCCTATCACCCAGTCATCCGGGTCAGGCTCCATGGTTCTCTTGCCTACCTGCGTATAACAAAGGGAATACAACGCTATACGCTCAGCAAAAGCTGAGTGGTAATCTAACAGTAGAACGCATAGCACATTCACATTGATATAGACATGATCGCACCTGAACTAAGTACGAGATACCACATACAAGTTTAACGGGTTAAGGTTTACAATTATCAATGATGCAATAACAAACAACATGATGCATGAGTTAGACCGCGCAGGGACCCCCTGCCCTTCGGTGATCATCCCCACGCGGTAGATGAGCCGAGGAACGCCTTAGTCATCCCAATGGAGACTAGAATGTGGGTGATAGCTACGCCTAGCTACCATGTACGTACACAAGCCCTCATGATGAAAACCCGATGGATCCCGCAGGTTCCTGGACGGGCCCACGGAAGAGGCGCACTGGGCCTGACCCCTCGCCGTGGTATGCAACGTATGCCATGGTCCTAAACATGGGTCTAGGATATATATGATGATATGAATGCATGGGTTGGAGAGTGAAATTATATTCAACACATGCAAATATATTCGGTTCCATATGTAAACAACTTGTTCAACATGGCGGACCTGGGTTCAGAACTGGCGGATAATCGATTAACCACATCTGATAATCGATTATCATGTTACGCAGTTCCTGTTCCCAAGTTCTGCAAGCCATGATAATCGATTGTCTCCTCATGACAATCGATTGTCAAAGTATTTGTTCAGGACACCCAAGTTCAGAGGGGCCTGATAATCGATTATAGGTATGTGATAATCGATTGTCAAAAGAACCAGTCCAGACTTGAGATTCCGCAGGACCCAATAATCGATTATCAGCAAGGTGATAATCGATTATCACGTCTTGCTGAAAAACTGAGGAGTTCAGCGCGACCTAATAATCGATTGTCAAATTCTGTAAATCGATTATTAAGGCACGCTGGTTCCTATTTTTGCCTGTTGGATTTTCATTAAGACGTTGAGGGTTCTAGAAATGAACGTTTATGTTTCCAGCTTACGTATTGATGAGTTTGCAACGTTTTGTAACGTTTATACTAACAAGTGTGTAATCGAAAGGCCTAATAACCGAAAAGTCATGACGATGTGGGTGCACGTAGGTTTAGCCGGTAATCCTATGAATATAACGATATGGTTATACTACGAATTCTAAAGTTAGAGGGCAACGTACTCACCTCTAAACGCAGAGATTTACGATAACGGTAACGGATGAACGAACGGCTAACAAACGGACAACGAATGGCGAACCTCCTGCGTGCTCTCCCTTCTCTTCTACTTCCCGTTTACTCGCCGGAATCCACT